AGCCATTGTAACCCATGAGTCGTACTTTGGAAATTTATATTCATTAAATAAAAGATAAAAAAAAAAAATTCTAAAGCTCATGTGAAACAACATAAAAACTGCTGAATCACCAAAAACTATATTTTATAAAATATAAAAATAAACTGAAGCATTATAAATGAAGAATATAATATGCCAAATAAAAATACAGTGGAAAGGCTTAACAATAGACTTAGTGAGGCAGAAGAAAGAATATCTGAGCTAGAACATAGATCTGTGGAAATTTTTCAATCAAGCCACAAAAGAGAAGAATAAATGGGAAAAACTAAAAAACAGTGTTGGAAATTTATGGGATAGAATCAAAGGATGCAACATATGGGTCTAGGGAGTTCCTGAAGGTATGAAAAGAGACAATGGATTAGAAGACATATTCAACGAAATAATTACAGAAAACTTCCCTAATTTGGAGAAAGAAAGGGGAGTCTAAGTGAAAAAGGCACATAGAACTCTCTCTCTCTCTCTCTCTATCAGAGATTAAAAAGAAAATGCAACAACAGATACCACAGAAATAAAAAGAATCATCAGGAATTACTACAAAGAGCTATCTGCCAACAAATCTAGAAGAAATGAGTAGATTCTCTGACAAACACAATTTACCAAAATTGAGTCATGAAGACATAGAAAACTGAAAGAGACCAATAACCAATCTGTAATACTCTCCCAACAAAGAGGAGCTGAGGAAAGCAGGACAGGATGGTTTCACTGCTGAATTCTACCAGTCATTTAAAGAAGAACTAATTCCACTTCTTCCCAAGCTATTCTAAACTATTGAAAGGGAAGGGAGATTTCCAAGATTATTCTATGAAGCAAGAATCACTCTAATTCCTAAATCAGAAAAAGAAATAAAAGATAAAGAGAACGATAGACCAATACCCTTGATGAACATAAATGCAAAAGTCCTCAACAAAATACTAGCTAATCGGATGCAACATCTCATCAAGAAGTTCAGTCAGATCAAGTGGGATTTATCCCTGGTATGCACTGATGGTGCAATATTCACAAATTAGTAAATGTGGTACATCACATTAACAAAATGAACAACAAAACCTTATGATTATTTCATTAGATGCAGAGAAAACATTTGATATAACTAAACATCCTTTCATGTGGAACACCTTAAACAAATTGCATGTGGAAATAATATTCCTCAACTCAATCAAGGCAATTTATGACAAACCCACAGTTATCATCTTATTCAATGGGGAAAAGTTGGAAGCATTCCCACCAAAATCTGGAACCAGACAAGAATGCCTGGTTCCATTGCTGTCACCACTGCTATTCAATAATCCTGGATGTTTTAGCCAGAACCATTATGCAAGAAAAAGAAACCAAAGTATACTAATTGGAAAGGAGAAGACAAATTATCCATATTTGAAGATGACATAATTCTACATAAAGGAGAAACAAATACTCCAGTAAGAGACTATTGGAAATCATAAATATGTTGGATAAAGTGACAGGTATAAAACTAAAACACAAGAAATCAGTAGCCTTTGAATACACAGAAAAATATCCTGGCACAAAAAGAACTTTTAAGAACAATCCCACTCACTATAGATACCAAAAAAATAAATACCATGGAATAAAATTAACCAATGAAGTCAAAGGCCAAAGATCTTTGAGATGAAAATTACAAAACATTAAAAAAGACACAAAAAATGGAAAAATCTTCCATGTTCGTGGATTGGATGAATTAATATCATCAAAATGTCCATATTACCCATGTGCACCCAATCAAAATACCAGTGGCATTCTTCTGAGATCTTTAAAAAATGATGGTAATGGGGCTGGCACTGTGGCATAGCAGGTAAAGCCACCACTTGCAGTGCTGGCATCCCATATGGGTGCCAGTTTGAGTCCTGGCTGCTCCACTTCCGATCCAGCTCTCTGCTATGGCCTGGGAAAGCAGTCGAAGATGGCCCAAGTCCTTGGGCCTCTACACCTATGTGGGAAACCTGGAAGAAGCCCCCAGTTTCTGGCTTCAGATCGGCACAGCTCCAGCCATTATGGTCATTAGGGGGAGTGAACCAGTGGATGGAAGACCTTCATATTTCTCTCTCTTTCTATCTCTCCCTCTGCCTCTCCTCTCTAACTCTGATTTTCAAATAAATAAATTTTTTAAACAATAAAAAATAAAGATAAAAAGTGTGAATGGAAAGGTCTGCCTTTGAATGTTTGACAACAGAAACTGAATAGAGCACCTTTTTCTAGGCACTGAAAAATGACAACAGAAGCCAACAAAAAAGCATAACAAACAAGTGCTAGGTAGCCACAGGCCAAGTTCTTTTAAGTTTCATTTAATTATCTGCTGAATTATATGAAAAAATTCAGGTTAGTTTTACCATTAATAGAGTGCTGATAAGCAAGCTTGGCAAAGAACATGGAGAGGAGCCAGTACTGTAGCATATATGGGTCCCGGTACAAGTCCCAACTGATCCAATTCTATTCCAGCTCCACGCTAATGTGCCTGGGAAAGCAGTGGAGGATGGCCCAAGTAACCATGACCCCTGCACCCACATGGGAACCTGGACTAAGGTCCTGGCTCGTGGCTTTGGATAGGCTCATCTCTAGACATTTGGGTAGTGAACCAGAGGATGGATGACTGACCTCTCTACCTCTCTCTGTAACTCTGTCTTTAAAATAGCAAAACAGGGGCTGGTGCCATGGTGCGCTTGGTTAATCTTCTGCCTCCAGTGCCAGCATCCCATATGGGCACCGGGTTCTAGCCCCAGTTGCTCCTCTTCCAGTCCAGCTCTCTGCTGTGGCCCGGGAGGGCAGTGGAGGATGGCCCAAGTGCTTGGGCCCCTTCACCCACCCGTGTGAGAGACCAGGAATAAGCACCTGGCTCCTGGCTTCAGATCGGCGCAGCGCCGGCCATAGCAGCCATTTGGGGAGTGAACCAATGGAAGGAAGACCTTTCTCTCTGTCTGTCTCTCTCTCACTGTCTTTAACTCTACCTGTCAAATAAATTAAAAAAAAATAAAATAGTAAAGTAAATCTTTAAAAGATAAAAAAAGAATGTGGAAAGAATTAAACTCAGGTGAATAATCATGCCATCACTAGCTTAGTGTTTTTTAAAAAAGAAATGTCTATGTGTAGTAATTATTCTCTGCACTGAGTGCTATCATTTCAAAGATATGAGCAAATATCAAATGAAATTCAACTAATAATAAATAAGCACTTTCTATAAATTAATTTAAAATATAGATTATTAGGGTGTTTCAAATGAAGAAATATTTTTTACAAAAATTCTCATGCATGTGCCAAAAATACCATGTAACATATTTTATTCACATGTGCAGTGCTGATATTTGTGCTTTTTGGGCAAATATTATCTTTAAAAAATTTAATATACAAAGGATTAATGCAGGAAAATAACAAAAATTCTTAAAATGGCAAATCAGCTTGGAAGGAACAAGTTACAACTTCTAAGATATGAGAGTGAATCCAGAGAATGAGCCAGAGAAGCAGTCAACCAAGAAGCCAATGCCCCATCCAGATAGGGGTGACAAAAAGATATCAAACCCATGTGCCTTGTACAACATTGCCACAGGTAAGTGAAATAAACAATAGAAATGAAGTGACTGAAAATCGCAGTTTTGACATACCGATGCATCAGATGTATATATATACACACACACACACACACATACAGTTTAGTTTTCACTCAGGAAATAAGGTTCCAGAATTTGGGCCTTTAAAAGTTTCCACTCACATAACTCTACATATAGGAGTTATCCTTAAAATATTTAAGTCCATACAGTGAGAAAATAGGAAACCAAAATAATGTGGAAAGAACAAGTTGCAAGATTGTAAACTATGTATAGAAAAGTACTGACGAGAAAGTGAAGAAGTGAAAATATTATGACTAAAGTAAATATATAACATGGGTGAGAACTGCACAGGGATGTTAAGAGGGCTGGTGAGCAAGCATATTGCGAACATTGAATCCAGTTAAATACAGTGCTCAGATACAAAGCCATAGCAAATAAGTGCACAGTTACAAAAGCATGAAGGTTAGCAAGAAGAGGATTGAAATATCCAATTGTTTCCCTAGATTATTAGAAAAACACACAAAGGCAATTATCAAACCTGGATGATTTAAAAGACTCTATTTAAAAGACTCTTACAAACTCTTGAATTACAAAATGCAGTGTGTCAAAAAGACACAAAAGTATACATAATCACACTTCATAACATCATGGGAGAAAAAAATTAGAAACAGTAAGAGGAAAACAGAGATCATTCACAGAGGTGACTAAATTAATCCTTTTAACAACTGGTATGGTGCTGTAAAACAGACATAAAATTAATCATGCCGAAAGCAACTATTTGAGCTAGAGTTGGATCCTTAGGTAAAATCTAGTTAATGGACCAAGATGAATAACACATAATCAAAAATAAACACAGAGATTTGATTACCAATAGGAGCTTTCTAAACCTACATGTCAAGAAGAAATGTTTTTCTACAAAAGAGAAAATGAAATAAGATGATACATGATACGCATCAAACTATGATTTACATTCAAGTAAAGAATTGATAATCCTTGAGGCATCAAATTTAAAAACTATTAAGATATTATCAAATAATTGCACTTCATTTTAATCTGATAAAGTGTCATTTTGCTCTTAAAACTGTACATATGAAATAAGGAATGTTCCTCTTACAGAAACAAAAAAATAATCTTATGCTACTGAACAATTTAATTGCATTAGAACATATTTTTCAAGAAAAATATCCCATCACAATATTAGTAAACATTAATGGCTCTTGCATTGTGTGCTTTTCAGAATATTGATTATTCTTTTATGAGAACTGAGCAGCACCACAGGACTAACTGTAGCACAAGCATTAAATACTAACTTCCAGATACTCAGACTTTGTTGTATGTCCACCACACATGGACTGAGATGGACAGGATGATGAGGTTAAGGTGGTAGGTGACCACAAAGGCACTCACCAGCAGCAGGATGGTCTGGGTGGCCTTTTACTCTGGGAAGGCTGCTGCGCAGAAGCGGCTCATGCTGCCCAGGTGCTGGGACCTCCTCTGAAGTCTAGACAAAAGAATCACCATGTGCATACTTGAAAACAGCATGACTCCTACAAGTAAGACATCCTTGGACGTGGATACTGTCATATTGGAATATAACCTCCTAATCATTTAATATATAATATTAAAGTACAGCTTAATTTCTCTCTATAAGAACAAGCATGTTATATCCAGGGACAAAGAACTGGTTTTCAGGCTTGAGCTATGAATACAAGATAGCATGCATTGCTTACACAAATTTGTGGTACATGTACATAATGCAAGTCATCCTACCCTCTTGGCACTGCTCATCAAGTTAATAGCAATTCTGACCTTCGGGCTCATACTATCTACCACACAAAAAGTTAAAAGTCTTCACTCTCCTTGTGGGAGCCAGTTAAGACCTAAAACACCTCCAGTGGCACCTTTCTCATGAATTCGACCTTAAGAATCATATGAAAGTACGTACCCATTTAACAATTTTTTTTCTTTTAATATCTAAATATTGCTCAATTACTCAGAAAGGTTTTCTCCTTTGAGACAAACTTTTGGTTTGCATAAGTGAAACCTTATAGAAAGTATATTTTAGAATTTCTGAGTGGGAAACATATTGAGAATGAAGTTTAAACTGCCATGCTGATCTTCAAGCAAGCCTCTAAAATCTCCACCCACTGTTTCGGCATCAGCTATACTTTTTTTAGTGTAAGTACCACCATTCAAGATTAATGTAATAAAACAAAGTAGGTATCATTGTTTTCTACTGAAAACTGCATGATATATTAATTCAAATAATACTTCATGAAAAGTTTACATATAAACATATATCCTCAGTCATAAACTAACCAGTTTTTCTTTATCCACTACCATTTCCACCTGTGAGATGGGCAATTCCTCCTCAGAGATGTAGAAATATTAAATTGTTGCTCTAAATTTTGTAGAGGAAGGATCAAATAGGAAGTTAAAAATGCAGTAACACAAAAGCATCTCATGGTCACACACAGAACAGTCACACACAAAAAGTCAAGACTAGTTTAAAGGGGGAAAGCCAAATTATTACTACTTTAAAATTTATTTATAACCGATTTTGTTGGCATTAAAATTAGAGGCATCTTAAATTTGAATAATGCATATGTACCAAAAACAAGAAACTAAATTTGGTAGAAATAGGGAGAGGAGTTTTTCCAGTAATTATAGATTGGAAGGTAGAAATCAATTTAAATAAAGACAGACTCCATTGTTTACAATGATTGTGCCACAGATTTAATCTTCAGTAGTGCATTAGTAAACTAGTCACGTTTAGATCTCCACCTTGAGATTTGACAGCTGTTTACTGGCAAACTCTCAGTACCTTGAGCAAATAAACTGGTCTTCCATGTGCTTTAGCACCCTTAAAATTTTTCCATTATCTATAGAAAATATATAACATATAATATTATATATATGTATATATATACACAAATCACCTGCCATGTGGTCAGGGCAAAATACATACTTTCGTAACAAAACTATAATGTACCTCTCAAGTATGAACAATATACACATAATACATGGTACACAGTATTTACAAAATACAAAATATAATGCAAGCTGTTTATATATAGCTTTTTAAACTCATCTTTTGTACTCTTACACAGCAACAAGGCAGCTTTCCAAATCTGTACCAACTTCCAAGAGTCCAGGGAGTTGGGAAAAAACTATGTTTTACATATGTATTGAAATCTGAAATCTTAAGTTTGAATTTCAGCAGTGTTTTTTTTTTTTTTTTTTTTTTTTGGACAGGCAGAGTGGACAGTGAGAGAGAGACAGAGAGAAAGGTCTTCCTTTGCCGTTGGTTCACCCTCCAATGGCTGTCGCAGCCGGCGCGCTGCGGCCGGTGCACCACGCTGATCCGATGGCAGGAGCCAGGAGCCAGGAGCCAGGTGCTTTTCCTGGTCTCCCATGGGGTGCAGGGCCCAAGCACTTGGGCCATCCTCCACTGCACTCCCTGGCCACAGCAGAGAGCTGGCCTGGAAGAGGGGCAACCGGGACAGAATCCGGCGCCCCAACCGGGACTAGAACCTGGTGTGCCGGCGCCGCTAGGTGGACGATTAGCCTAGTGAGCCGCGGTGCCGGCCTCAGCAGTGTTTTCAAGTGCACAGCCATTAGCTCCCCATTTTGGTTGGAATTTTCAACAGGGCTTCCCATCCAGTGACTAGGAGGCTCTGGAAGAACAGCAGGAGATGGTGGGTTACTAAATTTCATGCCAGCATAATTTTACTTTTGGCTCACGTCAGTTAGAAATGCTGATTTCTTCAAATGCATGTTTTTAATATTCGCTGTATTTTTAAAAGGCTTTTTTTTTTCCTGCTTCTGAATTCTATCAGATGAAACAGAGTCCTGCCATAAGTTACTTTCATTTCTTTTTTTGTAGGAGTCATCTTGGTTACTGGCAACTTAGGTTTGCTTTTCTGTTTATTTTTGGTTGTTCACTCACGTGTATACCATTAACAAGCTAGCCGTGGGAAAGGGTAACTTTCTCTGATTTTCCTATCTTTGATTTTAAAACCTCTTATCTGAGCGGGAGTTGGCCAGGTGCTGCGGGTCACAGCAGCCCAGGGACCAGGTTCACTCCCTCAGTTGGCTTGCCATCCCAGGAGCCAGGCATGAGACAGCGGCCTGGCCTGGGGCCTCCTGCGCCCTGCTCTGTCGTGCCACCCAGCTGGGTTGCCCTCCAGCCTCTGTTGGTGCTGTGATACTGGTGGAAGCGGCCAGACAGCTGACCAGCAGGCTGACCCATACCTTGTTTCACCACTTCTTCTGTACGGCCTGAAGGGTGCCTCCCCCATCACGGGGTGAAGGTGCCTTCCCCATCGCAGGGCTGCAGTTAGGCAGAGCTACTGGAGCGCGAGGTTGGGAGAATCACACAGGAGCTGTCTCCCCCTAGGAAGTGAGGGAGGAAGAGGGTCGGGGTCAGCACCCGGGAGTCCAGGATCCAGGGTAAAGGCGGCGGAGCTGTGGTCACCATCAGGAGGGTCCTGGAGTAACCGCTAGCAGAAAAGCCAAGCGGCGCAACCAGGCCATCCAGGATGAAGGGCTCCCGCTGCTGGACAGAGACAAAGGTCTGAGTGCTAGGAAGCAAGTGGCTCAGCAAGAAGAGGAAGAAGAGGGGGAGGAAGTGAAGCCAGTGTGATTCCAGGGCGGCGGTGGTGGCTTCTGCTGCGAGAGCCAGAAAGAAGTGCAGACCACGGGGACGGTGGCAGAGCAGCAACAGTGATTCATGTCTGACCACAAATGAATAAGATTCTTCTGTTTGGATAATTCCACAAAAACATGGCCCGTAACCAACACACTGTGAAATGAACAACAGATCATTGAAGAAACCAGAAGTTAAGTCTAAAACTATCTTGAAATAAACAAACAATATTGGAGACACAAAATCTCAAATCTTGGGAACACAGCAAAAGCAATAATAACAAATTTATAGTAAGAAGCAACTAGATTTTTAAAAGCAAAATTTTCAAATAAACAACCTAACAAAGCATCTCAAAAACCCTGAAAAGAACAAAACAAAAATTAGTAAAATAATAGAAATATCCATGATAGAAAAATAACACATGAAATAGAGTCTAAAAAATACAAATTTCCAGTGAAATGAAGAATTGTTTTCTTGAAAATATCAAGAAACACAACAAACTTGTGGCTGGAATGACCAAGATAAGAAAAGAAGAATGCAGGCCAGTGCGGGTCTGGGGTGTCTGGGACTGTGGGCCTGGTGGAGATGAACCCTGCAGCATGGGGTGGGGTCTGGGCCTGCTCGGTGCCAGGCTGCGCCCCCGCCTTCCTGACCCACTCTGACACCTTCTCTGAGCCTCATCCAACCCACGAATGGGGCCTGCCAGCGGGAGAGAGAGGACAAGACCCAGGCGAGGGCTCCCCAGCAGGACGAGGAGGAAGCGGCTGGGTATGGGTCCCTTCATTCCTTCATTTGATCATTCATCCGTCCTTTCCTGGAGCTCCCTGGGGTCAGTCACCAAGGCCATCACAGCCCCTGCCTTCATGGGTCAGACGCCAAGCGCTGAGGGGGAGGCTGGGATGGGGGAGGGGGAGGGGGGACATGACTCCCAGCAGACTGAGGTGGGTACGGAGGAGCTGGGCTGGGAGGGCCGTTCCTGGGGTCTGGTGACCAGGTGAGGGGGCGGCTGCTGAGAGCTGGGAGTCGGGGTGGGGGCGGCTGTTGAGAGCTGCTAGTTGAGGTGGCGGTGGTGTCCGACGCCTACTTTAGGGAGCTCTTTCTGGACACTAGAAGTCGAGGTGGAGGTGGGAAGCCACGTCAGTCACGGCACGGTGGCTCATGGCTTGTGCTGCGGCCAGGCTGGTGGCCGGCGTGGCCAGGGTCCAGGGATGACTCTGTGTAGCTGAGGCTGGGGTGTGTTGAGGGGGGAGCAGCTGCCTCTGCTATGGGCCCCACTCTTTCCAGGCCCTGCCCTGGAGGGGGCACCCATCACCTGGCCACATGTGGTGCAGATACTCGGCTGCCCAGAGGCCCTTGGTCTCAAACCAGGAGAGCAGACAGCTGGCCGGGTGTGGCCTCACCCTGTGCCCTGCTGGAGGAAATCAGAGACGAGTGCAGCCCCCACCCCAGCTCCTCTTGGCCAGAGCCCAGGGACAGCAAGGGCAGGGGGCAGGGGAATGACTGTGGCTCTGAGGCCTCGGGACTTCTCCCATGGGGCCTGGATGGGGTGAGGGTTTACAGGTCTGGATGAACCCTGAGGAAGCTGTGAAATCAGTGGCCTTGGCAGAGATGGAGGCAGGGAGACCAGGACTGAGGATGTGCCTGGCTGGGCCCAGCCAATCCCTCCTGGAAAGGCCCAGGAACTCAGCCACAGTGAGGGAGCAGAGACCTGGCCGTTGGGGGACTGAGGAATGTTCTTGGCTTCCTCTGGGCCTGTTGCACTGTGTCTTGTTTTCTGGGAAACAAATGCAGGGTTCCAAGCCCCTTCCCGCATGCACGGAGGCTGGTGTGTGTCAGCAGGCCCTCAAGGCCAC